TCAAAAGATGCTGCCTACTTTAAACTTTAATAAAATGCAATAAAGTTGATTTTGAAAAAAGTGCTAGTTATTCGATTTCGCTTCTACGGCAGCGAAATTTGTGAGAATTAGTGTTTTTATATATGTCATTTAAATTTTATAAATATGATTGTGGTCGTGATCTCGAAGTTCAAGCTTTTGTAACAGAAATGAACATTTAATAATGGAAGTATAAATTGAGAAGAACAATTGAATAACTGACCAATAAATGATTAACTTACTAGAAACACATTATGGTCTCAGATATAATGCATAATGAGCGTTAATTAGTTTCGCCCCAACGCAAATATTAGAAAAGCGAAAAATATATTATGTGAAAAAAGGACAATGTACATAATCATTTTTTGTCTATTTCACAAAGTTTATAATAAAATATTGAATTTCAATTATACATTTATACTTCAGTTGTTCATTTTTTCGGAACACTCAACTACATTATTTTCGTTTATTTAATTTTGAAATTAATGAACGAATTGAATATATTATTTAATTAATAAATTTAAATATTCTTTAAGTTTTAGATATGTTTTAAATATATAATTATAAATAATAAAAAATTACCGTGAATCGCTATTACACCCACGATGCAAGGCCACCATTGCGGCGAAGGGAGCGAGAAGCGGGGCGCGCGCGGGCGCTGCGACACTTTGAACTCGCTCATTTCGGACTTCTTGTTCATCACGAGTGGCAGTGTACAAAACGCTCGCTGTAAAAGCTCTTCTAGTGAGACTGATGATGAATCCCATATTAAAAGAATCACTAAAAACGCTAGAAGTAACGTTAACAATGAAAAAGACGTTAGACTCGATGGAAAAGGAAACACTATTTTTAATAATCGCAAGGTCGCTGAAACAACAGACTATGAAACAGGCTATGAGGAACTGAGGGACAAAAAAGAACAGAGAGAGAATGGAGAACCGAGAGAAAATGAAAAAGCTAGAGAAAATGAAAAAGCTAGGGTAAAGAAAGAAAATAAAGAAGCTAGAAAGAATGAAGAAGGTAGAGAAAATGAAGAAGCTAGAGAAAACGAAGACACTAGAGTGAAAAAAGAACCGAGGCAGATACAAAATACACAGACGAAATAAATTGTAAGATGGAAAAGCAGTAACAAATCGGAGTGGAAAAGGGTAAAAGAACAAAAGAGAAACGTCAATGTTTGCAATATGAAAATAGTAAAGGTAAAGTGTTAGCGCCCAAAATACCAAAATCTCCAAAATGTGGTGTTTTTTGCCGAAATAAATGCACAGAACTATTTTCAGAAACAACGCGTTTACATTTATGTAAGGAGTATTGGGCTATCGATGACTTTCGCTTGCAAAAAGAGTACTTGTGAAGCGTATCATAGTTAAACCAATTGCTAGACCTATTAAGAACTTGCCGCTAGATAAGCAACGATCTTCAAGTAGAGAGTTTGGGTTTTACAAGGACAATAAACTTATGAAAGTTTGTAAAAGCTTTTTCACTACTACATTGTGTATTTCAAATGGTCCAATTGAAACGGCAATCAAAAATATCAATGAAAATGGATTATTTCAGGGCAATGACTCTCGAGGCAAAAGAAAACCTGCAAATAAGACTCCAGAAGACAAAGTTAAAGAAATAAAAGAACACATCGAAAGTTTTCCAAAAAAGGATTCTCATTACTGTCGAAAAGAAACAACACGACAGTAATATATATATAACATATAACATAACATAAATACTCACGCCTGTTACCCAGAGGGGTAGGCAGAGATTATGGACTTCCATTTGGCACGATCCTGACACACCTCTCTCGCTTCCTCCACATCCATATACCTACGCATACACGCTCGTCGGTTAAAGGTACTCTTGATTTGGCCCATTTTTAATATATCGCCAATTTTGTCGATAAACTTTCGCGTAGGGCGACCCTTCCCGACTATGCCGTTCACCTCTGCAACATAAATTTGCTTTGTCACTCTTTCCTCATTCATTCTTTCTACATGGCCAAACCACCGAAGCATTCCTTTCTTAATCCTGGTCACAACATCATCTTGCAAACCACACTCTTCTCTTATTAAACAATTTCTCACTCTGTCATTCAGCTTCATCCCTAACATACTCCTTAATGATCGCATTTCTACAGCATTTATTCTACTCTCATGCTTCTTCTTTTTCACACAGCATTGTGAATTGCCATACGTGCCTTTTTGGACACATTCTGACTTTTCACAATAGAGTGTAGAGCCCCATTCACTCTATTTCCTGCATTCACTCGTCGTTCTATATCCTTATCATATCTACCATCCCTGCTAAACACACATCCCAAATATACAAACTCATCTACTTGCTCTACCAACTCCCCTTCTATTCTTATTTCACATATCGTTTTACTTTCTTCTCTTTCAAAAACCATAACTTTCGTCTTACTTGCGTTCACTTTCATTCCCTTTTCTTTTAATGTCCTGTTCATTAATGTAACCATCATTTGCAACTCGGCTGCCGACGATACAAGTATGACTTGATCATCAGCGTACAAAAGGCATTTGACGGTTAACTCACCCATTCTTAACCCGCATTCTTCTACTTTCAAATTTTCCAAACAACTGTCCATAAATAGGTTGAACAACCACGGGGAAGCCACACAGCCCTGTTTGATACCTTTATGGATGCCAAACCAGTCCGAGTAGGCCCCGTTGATCCTGACACAAGCACTAGAGTCCCTATATAGATACTTCAATGCCTGTATCAGACCAGCGGTCAACCCAAATGAGTTCAGTGTTTGCCATAACACATCTCTGTCCACTCTGTCATAAGCCTTCTCCAAGTCTATGAACGCACAAAAAACTTTTTGGTTTTTGGCCAAAAACTTCTCCGCGATCATGCGCACGGAAAAGACCTGATCCGTACGATCCCATTCCCTTTCTAAATCCCGCTTGCACATCCCAAATTTTTCCATCAGTTTCTTTCATAACTCTTTCAATTAGTACCTTAGCATACAGTTTTCCCACAATGACAATACTTAAGTGTAAACCTATCTATAAGTAAAATGTATGAACTATATGAGAGAAAAATGAAAAATGAAAACAAAATACCAGTGAAATTTAACGTATATAAAAATTTTTTGGAACAGAGTATAATTTAGCTTTTTTTCACCCAAAAAAAGACCAATGTTGTCTGTGCAATCGATATTATCGCACACCGAATCCAGATAATGTGCTAAAGAAAGAATACGACGATCATATCATAAGAAAAGAAACATCTTTTGTATCAAAAGATATTGATAAACAAAGGTCTGAGCGTGATGAAACTTTTCTTTGTATTACAATGGACTTGCAGAGTTTGTTACAGATACCATCCACTTCAGATAGCCTTATGTACTATAGTCGGAAGTTGAACTTATACATCTTTCGATTTATGAGTTTAAGCCCCCAGAAAATAATGCACACTGTATTATTTGGACCGAGCTTAACGGAAAAAGAGGAAGCATCGAAATTGCCTCAGCCATTAACACATGGATCAAATCAATACCAAAAAATGTAACTGAAGTCACGATTTATTCCGACACCTGTTCTGGACAGAACAGAAATCAATATATGGCAGCATTTTTGTTACATTTAGTTCAAGTGAGCCCTAACTTACATGTAATTGAACAAAAATATCTAGAAAGTGGGCACACTTTTATGGAAGTTGATTCGATGCATAGTGCCATTGAAAAAGAAAAAAGATTTTCCGATGTCTATTCAGTGATTGACTGGAAAGGTATCATGCATAGAGCTCGCTCTAATCGACATAATAAAAATGCGCGTCCATATCAAGTAAAAGAACTTTTTTTCTATAACATGATTGATGTACAAGCTTTAGCATCCCAAATACTGGTAAACAAAACGGTTTGCTCCGACGGAAACAAAACCAATTGGCTAAAAATAAAATGCCTCCGATTCGAAAAGGCTCTACCTGGAGTATTTCAATTCCGGTATGACTATGAGGGACCATATTTATTGATGGACACAAGTTTAAAAACATGTAAAACTAGGCAGACAAGAAACAGGGCAACTACAGCATTAGATACTTCTATATTAAGCTTAGAAAAGGCATACAAACAAGTTCTACCTATTTCAGAAGCGAAAAAAAAGGATCTGATAAACTTGTGCAAAAAAAAAAGATTTCACTAACTTCCAAGTGCTTAATTTTATTTAAAGTAATAAGTAGTAATTCTCAATCAGCTATAACCAAATATTTTTTATTTTGGAATATCCGAAAAAAGGAGACAAAAGTTTTTAATAAATTATTATTGCAGTGTAATAATTGAATAATGTTACTTATCATGTCAATTTTCAACCTGATGTTCTTTCAACTAACGGGCAAAACTGAACAACTAACACAATAAAGCAGATAACTACATGTTAATTCCGAAAATTCGGTAAAACAAAATTAGATAACTTCTTAATGCTATTTGAAATATTTAGGTAACATGGTATGGGTTTTACAATATACACAAAAGATACGCAATGAACCATTTATTAACATAAAAAAAAACCGACAGTAAATATATTTACAGTAAAATATTTATATCGGTTTTCATTAAAAAAAAAACACTAAATCAGCTTTTTCTCGCAAAAATGGTTTTGTTAGTTATCTAATTTCACTTCTACGCCAGCGATTTTAATATATTAACAAGAAATTTGTTTTATTTTGTATTATGTGTAATGAATATGTAGTCACCTATTTTCTCGGTGAATTTCTTAAATGGCAATAGTAAGCGCTCCACTAGCGACTCTGTCAAATGAACAGATAAGTTGGTGGCACTTTAAACGCAAGTGGCCAAGTGGTCGAGCAAGCGCGCGACAGCGTTCTGGAACGTTAACTTTTGACAATAATTTGAATTTTGACAGCTAAGATAGGTCAGGGGCAGGGAATTGTTGGTTTATTATGTAGGTGACATGATTGAGTATTGTATTGACGTTCCGTTCGCAGAATTTTAGAGATTACAAACAAAAATGAGTAATTGCGATGGAGATGTAATTGATTTAACTGAGTCTTTTACGTTGATTGATCATTGCTGCCTTGCTGATGTAGTGATAGAGATAGACACTGATGAATCTTTTAGTACAATTATAGAAAATACAAATGATTTGCAATCGGCGAAAAAGTCAAAGAAAAGGCGGGTAAGATTAAATATATATACTAAGTAACATTAAAGGAATTTTTGTAAGGTACCTAATTACTTAAAAATTATAAATCTTTTTAGAATACTCCGCCAAAGGAATTTGATGTGACCAAATCTGATACAAGAAAATCTAGCAAATTTGGTAATTGCCCTATTTGTTGGGAAGAATTGGGTAAAAACCCGTTAGCTTCGACCAAATGTGGTCATGTTTATTGTTTATTATGCCTTGAACAACATTTGTGTACAGATAAAAAGTGTCCTACATGTCGGAAGCTATTAAAAGGCTCTACTGCATATCATCCTCTATATTTAAGCTTAAAATAGGTTCAGCAAAAGGTTAAAACTTAAATAATTTTAGGTCATAAGACTGTACATTTGATAAATTATAAGTATTTTTATTCTCAAAAATAAAAAGTACATAATATTATTGACTGTTCAAAAATGACTTCAAGCTTTTACTGTAAACATTTTTATAGCATTTCATAAAATCGTAAATGATAGTGTTTATCCTAAAATATGGAAGATAATGTAAAAATAGTCTATCCCTTCTTCTAGGTAGGCCCATGCAGTAGTTCATTAAATAAGCAGTAACTAATCAATTAATTGATTACGGCATAAGCCTACCACAATTATGAGAAAAGTGCCAAACATTTTGTAAAGATAAGTTGTTTTATATATGAATGTAATCAAATGTCTTGTGGCAAATATACACATGCATATTTGTTAGTACTACTTATGATAAGGGTAGGGATATTTATGTAATTAGTAGGTAAAATTTATTTACTATTTTAAAAAGGAATCTTTTCAAAAAAGTAAATAATAAATTTTATATTAATCATATGTAAAAAAAAAATATTATCTTTTAATAATTTACAATCTGGGAAGCATTATAAGACTTGTTAATCAATAGCAGGCAAAAAATTTCTTTCAAATATTTCTCATTAACTAATTCTAAAATGTAATAATATTATTTTTTCTCTTTTTAAAAACATATCTAGAAAATACCTTTACTCTTTATAAAATATTTATTTTAAGGGATGTATCCTTAAATCTGAAATTGCCATACTTATAACACCAGAAACTTGTAGGATGATTCATATTTGTAAAATTTTACATTAATTCATAAAATATATGTATTGACTGCTTCAAGATAATATTTTGTAGATTTAAGACCAATTATGATTTTTAGGTAATACAAAAAAAAAAGATTAAACATTCTCAATAAGATAATTGTAAAAGTATTAATTAAATTTCAAATAGGTATGTAATTCATTAATGTACTGTTGGATTTGCCAATATTATATTTAATTTTATGTCCCAAAAATACATTTTCGAAATGAAAAAGAGCTCTTGGTTGATCAAATAAAAGAAAAAATATGGAATGAAAAACAATGCCACAATAGCAATGTGATTAAGCATCTGCCTGCAGCTGACCATACCACAGTTTTGATTCCTGCATAATTTAACAAGTACTTGTTGACCTATAGATAATTGAGCTGGGTTACCATAGATGTCTTTGCAAGAGAAATTCATAATGTTAGGGCAACATCTCCAAAATAAAAAATAATTGGCACAGTTCAACTTGTAATGAAATCTATACTTACACATAGGTAAAAAAAATAAGCCATGAAGGATTCAAAGATTCAATAATATTTTTTAGTCAAATGTCATTTATTATTTTTAGTATGTTTAATTCTTTGGTAACATATCTACTCATTATGCATGTTGTATAGTTTTCTTCTAAAATGTTATAATAACAATTATAATAGGTAACTTTAATTAAAATTAATAAAGGTAAATTTACTTAAAAAATAAATTTTATTGATAATACAAATATATATTTTTTGTGACACATAATTATTGATTTTTAAATGATGGTTAACAAAGAATGTATTCTTCTATTACTTATGCTTTGTCAACCTACACAAACTTCAGCTTGACATGGGCCTCTCCCATTATATTTTTTGCATTCGCAATCTCTAGATATTTCACAACTGGCACTGCCGGTATGGCTTTCATTACATAAGTCATGTACTAAATTATTATACTGTCAAATATCTCATTTGCTGCACATAATATAGAGACCAAGAGATTTTCAGCATTACTCATAGTTCTCATTTTGGCACAGCACTTACAGATTATAATAGGCTATGGATTTGTTTTGCAGCTTGCACATTAAAAGTTTTTGTACAAAATTTATTTTATTCTGTTAAAATTAGTCTATATGAGTAGTATTATAATCTAAAAATAGTCTATATGAGCCAATCTAAAAACAAAACAGAGATGGCAGCATCTCTGCTTTATTTTCATACTGGCTGATATAATACACATATTTTTTTAAATATTATTATATTTTAACTAGGTTGTATTATTCATCATTACAGTTACCCCTTCACAAAGTCACATAGGTTTCTCCCAAGGAATGTCACAGTACATGGTTGACTCCGTCTAGTGGGGGGCCACAACACTGCTTATTGGTATGAGACAGCACTCATGAACCGTCCCAATACATTGTCAATTCTTTGAGCTATATGGCCAGTTCACTGCTAGTCAGCTTACTGATTGATTAGGCTGAGTCAATAACTCTAGTTATATTGGGGATATTTTAATTCTCCTTCCCTCTCCATACCTTGCTGAGCGACATTGGTTATAATATAGAAAGTTATATGTTAAATAAATTTAAATCCAGAATATTCTCAAAACAAAAAACGAAATAACCTATTAAGTCATGTTGAAAGTTTTTCTATAGTCAGGTCAGTAATAAAGTAAACCACAAATATTGAAATTTTAAAACAAAAGTAATAAAGAAAAATTGGCATTAGGTAATAAAGTAATTTATTTGCTTAAATAGTAGGTAGTTGTTATTCTAATCCTTTATAAATCTAGAAGGTAATTCAACACAAGTCAATTATTTTAGTCACCTTATGTATTGTGTACAAATTGCATCAAATGTTAATTAATGTAAAAAATATTTATGAATTCTTAAAATTAAATTACGGGCTATTATTTTTGTTTGTATTTTTCATTAAGAAGGCCATTCCATGAACTCTAAAATGTTTCTGTAAACTGTCGGAATCATTGAATTGTTCTCTGCATATTTGACACTGATTTTCTTTTAATGGCTCATTGTCTTCAGATTTATTAAGATATTTTATAAGTGCGTTTTCATTAAAGCACTGCTTCTTATTAATGTAATCCAAAACATCTGATATCCCGTGTTCCAACAACAGATGTTTAGAAAATGATGGTTTAACTACAAAACTTTGCCCACATTCCATACATTGATAAGCCATGTATGGGTCTCTATGAGAAATCATATGAGTCTCTAAAGATTTCTTGTCTTCATTTTGCTCACCACATTTATAACAAATAAATTCGCTGCTTTGTGTTTTAGAATGAGTACTTTCTGAAATTGTGTTATTTAAGGGTGCCATATCTTTATTTTGTCTTTCACGAATTTGAATTCTTTTGCTAGTCTTGTTTTTAAGGGTATTTTTATCTTTTTTCTTTTTTTCATATTCTTTTATATTAAGTTTTTTCAAAACAACTTTCACATCAACACATTTATGACTTTTATGATACTTTGCATAGTGTTTTTTAATTTCTTCCCAGTTCTGGGATATTTTATTTTTACATATGTGACATATTATTTGCCTTACTACATTTACTTTTTTCTCTTGGGGATTTAACTTTGTTGTACATTTATTAGGACATTTATCTGGTAAATATTCAATTTCATTATGTTTGCATTTGAAAGTAAAATTATATTTACATTTTTCACATCTTTTCACAACACGGCAAATATAACTTTTATCATTTAAAATACTTGTAAAAAACTGTTTGCTTATGTTCATTTCTAGGGAATGCTTATTCATATGATGTCTAATCAATGCAGTTGTCTCTTTGAAAATTGTACCACAAGTCCAACATGGAAAAGCATAGCTCGTTGTGTGTGTTTTTAAATGATTATCAACTTGGTTTTTAAGGACTAATTTACCAGAACACTTTTCACATTGATAGAACACCACTGGCTTTACATCATAAGTGTGATATTTTAAATGTGTTTGAATACTTTCTTCATTAAAACAAGCTACAATACAAACTGGGCATTTGTAAACTTTTTTTAAATGATAAGATTTCATATGTTGATTATATTCATTTGGGTGAAAAATATGCAAATCATCAATGGAGCATGTTAATCTAGCAGTGGCTCGCATCATCTTGAAGCCTTCACAATCATGACCAAATGGATAATGTATACTTTTATTTGAAAGATGAATACCACATTCTGGACAGTAGAATGGTGGATTTTTTAAATGCAAACGCAAGTGAGCTTTAAGTGCACAAGTGGTAGGCAATGTAAACATGCATATGGGGCATGAATATACTTCATTTGTATATTGCATATAATGTCTAGCTCTATCTTTATATGCTATTCCTGTCTTAGTGTTATCCATTTTACATTCATAGCATATAGAACTTGTAGATTTTTGGGACTTATTTGTTATTTGAGTCGTCAGACCATTAGATGGTTCTAATGTAAAAAAATCAATTGGTAAAGGTTCTACCTTTAAGTCGCTTACATTAATAGTTGCAGTTTTAAAAGCATGAGATCGAATGTGACTTAGTAAGTTGCAACGATTATAAAAAACTTTTGATTCTCCACAATGTCGACATTTGTAGGTAATTTTTACAGACTTTCTATTTACATGATAATCATAGCTCGATTCCATAATGTATCTGCAAAGGAAATAATTTATGTAGTTTACTGATAATTGACTATATAATCCTGAATAAAAAACTGAAAAATGTACCTGTCACCACAATCGGTGCAAGAGAATAATTTATGGCCATCAGTAGGTAGAGGAATGATATAGTTTGGTAGAGCTTTAGTAAACAGTAATGTTTTAATACTTAGTTTGTCATTCAGTAAATCTGCAGTCATTGTACTGTAATAAATTAAAAATAGTAAGATTAGTGCTAAAAAAAACATAGATAACTTACAAATCTGTTTCTGTTTATTAAAGCAAAAGAACAGAGTAAAATGAAAAAAAAAACATCACAGGGAGTTAGGATCAGTTATTATACCTAGTCTCTTACATAAATTTTACTGAATTAACTGCTGCAAGGTATATAAGCATGGGTTTAAATTATGTCACAAATCATAATTATGAACATAAGCTATAACTTTTTGGCTCTGTATTCCTTAAAATAACCGCAGGCGTGAAGGTACGGTGAATAAAACCAAAGAAAATAAATTTGGTTCTGAATACTTACATGGCAACACTTATTGTTATAAAAATGTATTTCTTGAAGTTCTTTCTAAGCTGCTTAAAGTTATATTCGCATTCTACAAAATTTTCGACAATTTTGAGACAATTTTTCTTCGAATTTATAGATGAGGAAATTTATCAAGCGCCCTCTAGAGGTGGCCCAAAAATTAAACTAGTATCGCCATTATTAAAAATTAAAAATGTTACCAGCATAAAACACGTTCTTGTAAAAAAAGGATTAAGTAGAGAAATTCAAGGTAAAGGCTGTAGTACAAGTCGACATGTATGAAAACGCATTTTTAGTTTCCAAACGTTAGCAAAGCGAGATAAAAAGTCAAACTCAATGCAAATCTTCATGAAGTTTTTGAGATCATTATTCACTATGTACCCATAGATAAATAGGGATATTCGATATACATCGATGCATCGAATTCACTCGATGTTTACAATACGATGCATCGAATTGATCCGATGTTTTGGAAAGTTATTGATATACTCGATGTATCGATGTATTTTCATAAAACATCGAACCAATGATAACCAGTCAATTGTAAAAAGGTATACTTATCTATCACTATTAATATTACAACTTCTAAATCAGAAAAACTAAAACATGCTCTGATTTAGAAGTTAAAATATTTAAACCTGTTGGTGGTGCTAGTTAGCAGTTGTCAGTCCCTTAGCGGAATTAAGAAATTGAGATTAGCTGGTTGTCCAAGTGTCCGATTCAAAAGGACGACGAGTTCCAATTGCTCACCAGTCTTCGTTTTGTCAACCGATAATACACTCCAAAATACCGTACTGTATCACAAAACTATTTATATTTATATATATTTTCGATAAGGACTATTAATATTTAATAATTTAAAAGTAATATTTTGCTTAGATACGAGATACGTAGTATTTAAATTAAATTCACATTAATTGTAAAAACAAAAAATCATACTGATAATTTTCGCTAGAAGCTGCATAAGATGAAAACAGCTTCTGGTTGAAGTTGAAAGGCTACTAAATTACGTTTATATAGGTTGACTCGGGACAGATGTTTCGTGAAATTTGTTCTAGACCGGCCGTCCATTTAGTAGTAGGTCAATGATAATAAATAATAATTTATTTCCTTAATATAAAGGAATACAAAGGGCGGACTTAATGCATTCCCTACGAGGTGAGAATTTGAGGTAGGTGTAGCAGTATAGAATAAAACCAAAATAAAAAATAAATAACTAAGATATATATAAATTTTACTAATATACAAAATAAATAAATACATACAGACATATACATACATACATACATACACATCAACACAAAAAATTTAAATAGTACATACCCACATATTGGCTATTAGGGTATATTCGCCATAGTTGCCACACTTGGCAGGCGGGTTTGCAATCGCGGTTTTTTTATTATTTTGAGTTGTCAGGAAGATGCTGCTGCCTAACAACTGCTTCAGTTTGTAAAACATATCCACCCACGGGATGATATGGGATAGCGGATTCTTTTACACCGCCACTACACGGCGGTCAAAACTAAAATGGTTTAACGTTAGTTAAAGAATGTAAAAAAATCCTCATCCAACTCTTTATCAGCTCATAATCATTCAAAAAATACATTTGTTTAGTTTGTATTCCTTTATATTATAAAGGAATACAAAGGGCGGACTTAATGCATTCTCTACCAGGTGAGAATTTGACGTAGGTGTAGCAGTATAGAATAAAAACAAAATAAAAAATAAATAACTAAGATATATATAAATTTTACTAATATATTAAATAAATAAATAAATACATACAGACATATACATACATACATATATACACATCAACACACAAATATAAATAGTACATACTCGATACCGCTAAATATAAATAGTATAAACTGGGAGAGAATGCATTAAAGTGGGGAATGCACTTCACGGACATGCCCGCGGGCATGTCTGTCGCCGCAATACACTACATAGACTTATTAGTTTGCTTTATGTCTGTGTCCGCGCAGACAAAATGGGATTGTGCGGACGTTCAACAGGCAAGTCTGCCAGACCGGCTGTGTCAAGTGAATTCCCCGCAGGCATTACGTCTGCCATATGTACGATTTTTGTTTTGTACATAAAAGTTAAAAAAACAAACACGTGTGTGTGTGTGTGTGTGTGTTTGTTTTTTTAACTTAACACACACAAAAGGCGTGCGGACAAAGACAGTGCCGATGTAAGATGTCATTTAAAATTGTCAGTTGTTTGCATGGGGTGTCAGGAAGTTGACTACAGATTTATAATGTAAAGTCATAAAAAGTACTCGATGTTTCAAAAACATCGATGTTTCTAACCGATGCATCGAAATATATCGATGCACACTCGATGCATCACATCGAAAAAAAACATCGATGTATTTTCAAAGTGGACACCCCTATAGATAAATATATATGTAGCAAGTATGTACCTACCGTCGTACTACAAATTTTTTATTTATGTCATAGTAGTCTGTGAATTTATGGAATCCGATCTATGTATAAAAACAACTATAGCAAACCGTAACCATAGATCACTACATTGCACGTAGATAGAGGATTGACTAGATAAAGCATTCGCGTATGCTTTTGAGATAGAAATAGACGGGAGGTACTTTCACTGGGTTACCAGATATTGTTCCATTTCCCCCGTTATGGGTTTATGTTCACAGCACTTACATTCATACAAAAAACTTAATTGTTACCATAAAAAAATGTTCTTTTATAATTCAGATAATTAATTAATTTCTCTTGAAAATACATTCTGTGACAAAAACTATGGGCGGAAACGGCGTAAAAACAGAATCATCATTCTGTATTCAACGGCGCATCGACGATTATACTGGACATTCAATAAACTCTTTGGATTTCGACGGCACTAAGTGAAGGAGCTAATAGCACAAAGTGTGATATCGCTAATAAATAACAATATGTTATGTATGTACTTAAATATTAATTGAGAATAAAAATATTAAATAAAAAACAAAAATTTCCTTGAGTCGAGTTTTGTAGTTTTTACAAAAAAAAATTAATGTTTTAACATACCATTCCATCACAAGTTCAGTGCTGAACACATACCTTCAAAAGGAAAGGGTTTCCACTTAGGTTTTGTAGTACAAAACACGGTTATGAGCCCACTCCCGCGATTTCCTGCATGTTTTGCTAAGTTAGTGTCTTGTGTGCGGCAAGTTGTGGCATGCAAGAAAATTTGTCTGTACACAGGATGATATTACCCCGCGTCGTAAGCAATAATACAAGATGGGGATGGGGCAGCAGCACTTTCCCGATAAAAACTTAAAATAATAAAAAACTGCGGTGGCCAACCAACATAACGCATATAATACACGCAGGCGTGGCAACTATGGCAAGTCATCCTATGAGGATATCTATGGAAGGTCTTTTTAGGTGACTTACTTATGGTTAATCATGTTACCTATTAAGGTGGTAAAATGTTTTAGTTAATATGCGTTGTAAAGTATCAACAAAGGGGTTTTTTGTAATATGTTGGTATATAAAATAAAAACGAATGTTTTATAATATTCTATTTTAATTTACCATGCAGTGTAAGATTATCTGCTACCTCATATCATTCCATGGGTGGTGTATGAGGCGACATAGGGAAACATCAAAGAAGATAAACAGCAGCATTGTCCTGATAACAGCTAAATAATGGTTGACAACCTGCTTTCCAAGCGTTGAAACTATGCCAAATAACTATAATCATGTTTATGTTTAACAGTGGACTTTTGATAGACTGTAAAGATATATATTCTATTTAAATGAAAATATATTGAAATTTAAAAAGGAAAAAGAACTAAATTTTGCATACTTACACAACTTTTAGAAATATTAACAATGCTACATTAAGTAAAACAAATGAAAACACAATTATATGTTAAATATAATTCAATAAAATTAAAATAAACAAACGATTATTTATTAATTTTTCATCACATTAATAAACAACAAAATTTTTGTCTTCTTTCTAGAGCATTCGTTGTAATTCTTGGTTTGAGTAGCCTTAGAATTTCTCAAAAATATGCATTTGTAAACTTGATTTATACTTTTGCATGGCAGAAATTCTTGGGTGCTGGTCGTTAGAATCGGATTATAAGGGAGTATCCATCTATATATATATAATTTGCCTTGTACTCGTATATAGAGAGTTTTACCATAAAATAAAACTTACCTATTATTTTTTAATCAATATCCGGAATCCATCTTGAGTCAAGCACTAGTCTTTCCGCCTAAAGTCAGCACTTCCGGCTACCTTACCTGCCTGGAGGGGGCACCTCACCACTGTTTTTGCTTTGTTATTTAAGCAGTGATGAGCACCAGGTCTCGTCATTATGACACTCATGATGCACCAGGTAGCCCTTACCTGGATTCCGGATATTGATTAAAAAATAATAGGTAAGTTTTATTTTATGGTAAAACTCTCTATTATTTGTTATGTATCAATATCCGGAATCCATCTTGAGTGACGTGTTTGTTATCACCTGGTGCTAATAATTTGTTATAGTTATTAACGCTATAATGTGTAATGTAAACAATAAAAGAATGATTGCAAGAGATACACAGCAAACAAAAATTATATATTATACCACAATTACATTATTTGATTATAAATGACAATAATTTTTGCTTTTATCAATTACAATAATAAATA